GTTTACACTCTGGCCGATTCAAAAACCTGCGAACCCGCGGAGTGTAAAGGTGGAGTTGGAAAGAGTGGGCATATATTTGCAAGAAATCGGCCTGGAAAACGATTTAAAATGAGTAATCAGAAGGAAGAACCGAAGAAGGAGATACCTGAAGTGATCTATGACTCGACGACGGGAAGAAAGTACCAGAGAGGAAAGTTTTTGGGGAAAGTAAGTTGGGATTTGGAGTGACTTTGCCTTCCAAAGCGCCGTGCTCCTAGTGTTTTATTTTTACGTTTATTTCCTCCACCAGAGACTAGCTTATTTATCCGGGATAGCTATGTAGCTTGTGTTTAAGTCGACTCTGATTGTTCTGTTATTATTTTTTTCCTAGAGGTGATTGAAACGTAAAAGTAAAGAAAGTAGCAGGCAAAGAAACGTAAAAATAAAACAAGTCACATGTTTCAGTTTTCTTATTTTTGGCGACCCCTTACTTGTACCATCGATATATAATGTAATTTACAGTTATTTCTCGCATTATTTGATCATTAAAAAGGTAAGATGGTAATGTTGATTATAAACCTCGCTAAGTTTTATACAGCAGTTCCCTCTAAAAGCATTTATCGACGTAAAATTTTTATTCATAGTTAAAAAAAGGTATCTAAACGTGTTAAAATCTGTAAACTCTTATATTAATTCTATTTGTTTATTTTTTTGTTGATAGTAAGGATGGGTTTGAATTAGTACTATTTAAATAATGCGACGCTACCATTACCGGTAAAACTATTGTAGTGTGTGTAAGGTTTGTTGACTACGGATTTTAAAAATTACAAAACCATTGCAGTATTACCGCGTATTTGTGTATTTTTTTTAGCATCCCGACTTTACTAGTGATGAAGAAATGTGTTTACTGATGTGTATAATTGAAATGTTCTAACTGTCAAAATTGGAATGCATCGAGACTAGTGGTATAACATTTATTCAAAAGTTTCTTGATAGACGTTTCTGTAAATCCTTGATGTTCAATATAAATAGATACCACTAAGTGTTGAACAGTACGTAAATGCATTTTCATATTTGCTGACATGTAAATATTGACCTTATTAGGTTGTAAATATCCACAAGGAAAAGCTACCAGTAAATTTTTCAACTAATTAATGACTCCTAAGTAAATTTAATTTTTCCTAAGGTGATGCTGAGATTATCTTATGAGTTGTCCCAGCTCCCCTATTTGTATTTATGGTAAAGGTTTGTTACCTTAAAGCCACATGTATAATTACTGCTGGCCTTGTGCTGAGCATCAGGGTAATTCTTTATAGTATGGACGCAGCCGCCAGAGGCTGTCGTCAACTCCACTTCACAAAATTTGTTTCTGTGACATACCAGCGACTTCGGCTTTTTGTCCTCAACAAGAATATTATCTTTAATTTGCTCTAGCATAGTGTTGCCATACCAAAAAGATTAGCTGCATCGGGACCTCTGTACATGTTGGTGTTTAAGAAAAAACCTGGATAGAAATATCTTACGATATATAACCTGGAAGGTTTACTGGGCCGTGAAAGTGTAAAACATGTAGGTTCTGGTGATCACTTGACTGAAGTGCCATTATACCGGACTTTATATTGTAGGGTAGATCAAAGCCAGGAGTGTATATGTACAATATGGTTTTGTTTTATTTAATTTTCATTACATACATACAGCTCCACAAGTGCTTAATCACCAGAGAGTCCATTACAAGGCTTGCCTAATGTTATTTTTTTGTAGTCCATTGATATATCAGAGAAGAGTTATTATTTTAACTTTAAGTATTGTTAATAATCTTGTAATAGTACTGATAGTATTAAGATAAACAAACTTTTTCAAGATTTCTAGGTATGATCAAATTGGATTAATAATCGATTCCTAGATAAAATCATCTTTGCGTAAAATACCTAAACAAATGTGTTTTGGAAAGTTTTTTACCTGGCAGTTGGTTAAACCATGTTATTTTTCCAACTGATATGTAAATTTAAAGGTTCACCAACATTGATGAAATTAAGTACTCATAATAAAGAATTAATTTTTACCTTTCATCTTTTGCATTTTTCCACAGTGAATTATCAGTTGTAATTTGTTACAGACATGGTTTTCACTTTCGAGAGAAAAGAAAAAATGAGCATGTTTATATGCAGTACTCAATTATTCTGGTAGACCCTAAAAGTGAAAGGTTCAAGGCTGATTGATTGAAATAAATTGATTATCTTGAGTGGGATTATACTGAGCAATGCCTTAGCCTCTGTGCTTGTGCTTCAGAAGGGGTCAGCAAATAATCAACTGTTAGGTAGGAGCTTCATTTATACAGAGCACAAAGGCAGTGCTCTGGGAATAGAATAGCCTAATGTTTAGTTCTGTTGGGTTTACTTCTACTTTTCATAGGTTGTATGAAAGATCTACTCATTCATATTCAGACTTGTATGTGTTCTTGACATAGACATGCTCAGTCACAGTAGAATTTCAGCCTGGTTGTCAAATGATTTGCTCAGGAATGATTCACTTTATATGTTCCCATATGATGGATGGTTTAGTGTAAATATAGAAAAATTGTGTATTCCCTGTTTGATGCTTCAGTTTTTGATCCACTGTTTTTATATTTAGACTAGGTATTTTATGAAGAAATGATATGTACTTTGGTATTTAAATATGTATATTCTTTACAGGGAGGCTTTGCAAGATGTTACGAGCTAACAGACATGAAGACCAAAGAGATATTTGCTGGAAAGATTGTTGCAAAGTCTCTCCTCGTCAAACAGCATCAGAAGGAGAAAATGTCCCAAGAGATTTCTATCCACCGTAGCTTAAAGGATAGACATATTGTTGGGTTTCATGGATTCTTTGAGGATTCAGATAATGTTTACATTATTCTTGAACTGTGCAGGAGAAGGGTAAGTTATTATTTGACTGGTGAAAGTTTTTGGTATATTTGAAATATATTGTTCTGGTTTCTCTTGTAGCATGCTTGTGTCTGTTGCCGGTGTTGGATCTAATGCTTCACGAGTTTGGACTTGTTCAAATTTGTGGATAACCTAACCTAGGTGTTCTTTGTGTTTATTAATGTTTTGACATACTCAAAACTTAAAAAAAAAAGCATTAGGTGCTAGCAGACCGCTGCAAACTGCGCCTTCTGTCTTCCCTGATTGGTTGTAAGCCTCTCTGTACTCCGGTCTAGATTGGTTCCCATTCAGTGTTGATAAGAAGGTTAAGGAGCAAGCGCAGGCACAAGCTAGATTAATTGCAAGTTGCACAGCTGCTTCAAATCAGTTCATATCTGTTTGAAGTATTTGGTGTTGTTGCATACAAATAAATTGAATTATACTTAACATCCCTTTCTGACTGAAATGTGCATACCTGAAAGTTGAATTTGATCATGCCAAAAAGGGTTGCTATGTTACTGACTCTTCTTTATTTTCTCAGTCCTTGATGGAACTGCACAAGCGTCGCAAAGCTGTCACAGAACCAGAGACTAGATACTTTCTGAAGCAGCTGTTGTTGGGTGTTAAGCATCTCCATGATCGCAAAGTGATTCACAGAGATCTGAAGCTCGGAAATCTATTTCTTAATGATGAAATGGAACTGAAAATTGGTGATTTTGGTCTAGCTACCAGGGTGGATTATGAGGGAGAAAGAAAGAGGTGAGAGATTTATTGATTTTTTGTTTAATTTTCTTTTTGACTAATACAAGTTAAATACATGTAGTTCTGTTCTGACTTTAGTGTTCTACATTTTATGAGACAAGTTTCAAGAAGACATAAATTATATGATTATCTATTTTCTTCCTAATATCCCAACAGAACACTCTGTGGCACTCCTAACTACATTGCTCCAGAAATTCTCTGCAAGAAGGGTCATAGTTATGAAGTTGATGTGTGGTCTTTAGGTTGTATTTTGTGAGTAGCATGCCTTCAGTTATTTTTGAGGTTATGTAGGAAATGCCTTGCTAAAGAATGTCACATTGTAATTGATATTTGATAAAATGGAAAGATATTCATTTGATTCATTGTTGTAATTGTTTTGCTTCATACATGTTATTGTTAAGGACTGTATATAAATGTCTTATGAATTCAGAACTTACTAGGTAGAGAATTGTTTCTCTGCCTTTGTAGCCATAGCTATGTTATAACAAGGTTTTGTATACTTTCAGATATACTTTGCTAGTAGGTAAACCTCCATTTGAAACTCAAACACTAAAGGACACATATATGAGGATCAAGAAAAATGAATATCACATCCCATCTCGCATTGGTCCACTAGCCCGGTCCCTTATCCAAAGATTGCTGCAGGGGGATCCCACTCGCAGACCTAATGTTGATAGTATCCTAGCTGATGATTTTATGACTATGGGTAAGAATTGTACGTTTTGCATTTTTGAACATTATTTGTATTGATTGCTCTCATCATTAGAATAAGAGTTGTGGAAGTCAAGGATAATTGAGGATTTGGATTTACATTAATGTAAAATATTTTTGTTACAGGATATATCCCAACTCGCCTTCCAACATCTTGCCTCACCATGGCTCCTAGATTTGACTCAAGATGTTCCATTGTAGCCACTAGGAAACCTCTTTTAGAAATCAACACCAAAGGTAAGTTAATATATTTATGTGACAGATTGTTCTTGTTAGGGTGCTCTCTCTTTGTGTCTAGAGTATGTCTTTCTCCTTCTCACTTGCCTTTTTCAATTTTCATCTTCAGCTAACTCTTTTGCTTCCTCTCTTCTTTTTTTCTCATTCTCTTTTCAGCCTTTCCTATGTCTACCTCTCTTTCTCTTCCTCCTTATCTATCCCTCTTTCTCTTCCTCCTTATCTATCCCTCTTTCTCTTCCTCCTTATCTATCCCTCTTTCTCTTCCTCCTTATCTATCCCTCTTTCTCTTCCTCCTTATATATCCCTCTTTCTCTTCCTCCTTATCTATCCCTCTTTCTCTTCCTCCTTATCTATCCCTCTTTCTCTTCCTCCTTATCTATCCCTCTTTCTCTTCCTCCTTATCTATCCCTCTTTCTCTTTCTCTTTCTCTTCCTCTTCCTCCTTATCTCTCTCTGTCTCTCTCTGTCTCTGTCTCTCTCTGTCTCTGTCTCTGTCTCTCCTCTGTCTCTGTCTCTGTCTCTCTCTCTCTCTGTCCTCTGTCTCTGTCTCTGTCTCTCTTCTCTCTCTCTCTCCGTCTCTCTCTGTCTCTGTCTCTCTTGTCTCTCTCTCTCTCTGTCTCTGTCTCTCTTTCTCTCTCTCTTTCTCGTCTCTCTCTCTCTCTCTCTCTGTCTCTCTCTCTCTCTCTCTGTCTCTCTCTCTCTCTCTCTCTCTGTCTCTTCTCTCTCTCTCCTCTCTCTGTCTCTTCTCTCTCTCTGTCTCTCTCTCTCTCTGTCTCCTCTCTCTGCTCTCTCTCTTTGTTCTCTCTCTCTCTCTCTCTCTGTCTCTGTCTCTCTTTTCTCTCTCCTGTCTCTCTTTTCTCTCTCTGTCTCTCTTGTCTCTCTCTGTCTCTCTCTGTCTCTCTCTGTCCTCTCTTGTCTCTCTCTGTCCTCTTTGTCTCTCTGTCTCTCTTTGTCTCTCTTTGTCTCTCTCTGTCTCTCTTGTCTCTCTCTGTCTCTCTTTCTCTCTCTCTGTCTCTGTCTCTCTCTTCTCTGTCTCTCTCTGTCTCTGTCTCTCTCTGTCTCTGTCCTCTCTCTGTCTCTCTGTCTCTCTCTTCTCTGTCTCTCTCTGTCTCTGTCTCTCTCTGTCTCTGTCTCTGTCTCTCTCTGTCTCTGTCTCTCTCTGTCTCTGTCTCTCTGTCTCTCTCTGTCTCTGTCTCTCTCTCTCTGTCTCTCTCTGTCTCTCTCTGTCTCTGTCTCTCTCTGTCTCTGTCTCTCTCTCTCTGTCTCTCTGCTTCTCTGTCTCTTCTCTCTCTGTCTCTGTCTCTCTCTGTCTCCTCTCTCTCTGTCCTCTCTCCTCTGTCTCTCCTCTCTCTCTCTGTCTCTCTCTCTCTGTCTCTCTCTCTCTGTTCTCTCTCTCTCTCTTCTCTCTCTCTCTCTCTCTCTCTCTCTCTCTCTCTCTCTCTCTCTCTCTCTCTCTCTCTCTCTCTCTGTCTCTCTCTCTGTCTCTCTCTCTCTCTCTCTCTCTCTTCTCTCTCTCTCTC